CTCAACCGGTCAGCGGAAGTTTACGTTGAATGCTGTCACTTTTCAACAGCTATTTTATTAAATTTTCTGTGCGGTATCCATATGATCCCCTATCTTCACTCCGTCGCCATCTGAGGCATTATAACTTCAATCCACGTTTATTGTAGTTGGGTCATAAATGCAGAATGAAACCATTTTAGCGGATCGGACGTTTTTTTTCACAATTTAGAATTATACCTCTTGTACGCCAAACTTGAAGAAGATCACGGTCTGGCTCGGAGGGCGATCAAAATATATGAGCGCGCAACGGAAGCAGTGGAACCGGAGGAACGTTTCACTGTGAGTTTCGCATAATTCTCCTGCTACGCAGCTCATTTGTGGCGAAATTTAATTTCGTTGCTCATATGGGGTTTGTAGATGTTCAACATCTACATTCAACGTATCGCAGATCTTCACGGGGTAACTCACACACGGGCAGCCTACGAGCAAGCCATTGAAAGGCTGCCAGAGAAGCATGCTCGACAAATGTGTCTCCGTTTCGCAGATTTAGAGAGGAAATTGGGCGAAGTTGACCGTGCACGTGCTGTTTACGCTTATGCCGCCCAAATGTGTGATCCTCGAGTAGGTGTACCTAAAGTTCATCTACTTATTTGAGCAGACTCTTGATCGGTATACGTTTCTCCCCCAGACCGAGCCCGAATTTTGGAAGATTTGGAAAGAATTTGAACTTGCGCACGGGAACGAAGACACTCTGCGAGAAATGCTTCGGATCAAACGCAGCGTGCAGGCCACTTATAACACCAAAGTTAGCTTCATGGCAAGTCATCTAGCTGCTACGAAGGAACAGAGTCAGTGACTTCTTCTGACTTCCCTAGTGTCAAAATACTGTCTTTAAAACCTTATTTTTCTTCAGATGAAAATCCAATGCAAGCAGTTGAATCGGCAATCACGGCGGAGGAGACCTCTACAAACAAGCGACCGCTGATTGTTTTTAAATCAGCTGGTGTTGTCAGTCAAGTAGGCACCGATGGCGACAGCAGTGGCAGGGTAACGAGTAGGACCCCATCCAGGAATCCAGAGGCCATTGACATTGATTTGCCAATGGAGGACGAGGACGAGGGTATTGAGGGGGTAGAAACAGTTCAGGACGAGGAAAAGATACTTGAAGACGACGAAGATGGCTCAAAGCCTCGTAAGCAGTTTTCCCTAATACGATTAATAGTGAGGCTCACGCAGGTTAAGTACTCAACCTTTTTTTCAGGTCTGAGGATTGAGAAGCAGCCGGTTCCTTCTGCTGTCTTCGGAAGTCTTAAGGATGATAATGATGACTGAATAGGCAATTTTTTGTTTGCATAAATTTGATGAATCTCGCAATATTAATTGTATCTGTATGCACTTTTGAATGCGTGTTGTTGAATTATCTTACTGTACTACACAGGGAAAACTGCAAACGATGGAACTGAAGTTGATGCATTTTTGTCATTCTTAGAACTTTTTGACCAATATGCTCGATCTTATTTCCAAAACTTGAACCTCTTCAATGTGCAGTGAGTGTGACTTGTTCTGTATTTC